GGCTTTTTCCAAGGGTGTGTAGTGACAGGACACGGGGCAATGGCTTTAAACTGGAAGAGGGGAGATTTCCGTTAGATCTAAGGAAGAAATTGTGACAGCAAGTCAGGGTGACACTGTGGGGCAGGCTTGGGGCTGGAGGGCCATGTCTGACCTGAATCTGCAACACGCCCTATCCCTGTGCATCCCAGAGCTCACCCGTGTCTCCGCAGGAGAGATGAGCATGGGGAGCCACCACTCAAAGCTGCAGCTACCTAACCTCATTTCCCAAAGAATTTGATAGGGATTGACTCTCTGGAAAGACCCGAGGTGTCATGAGGAGACCCCTGCTGTGCTGTAATTAATCTGTTGAGCATGTTGCTCCTTGACTGTCGTTCCCGTTACTTCTCTGGCCCCCAGCAGCCGCCTGTTCACTGCACTGTGCTCATCAGCAGCGACAGTCTCAGCCCAGGGGCGCTGGCTGCGCCTTAGTCCTTGTGCTTGACCTGGGCATGAAAAACAGCTGATGAGTTGTTGGATGTTCCAGGCCAGGTGGCGAGGGGCAGGTTGCCTGAATGAGGAATGTGTAATCCAGAGCAGCGTGGGCAGCAGGGCGAGGGAGGGGATTCTGCCCCTCTGCTCTGCTCTCCTGAGACCCCCCTGCAGTGCTGCGTTCAGCTCTGGAGTCCCCAACACAAGAAGGACATGGAGCTGCTGGAGCGGGTCCAGAGGAGGCCACGAAGATGGTCCGAGGGCTGGAGCACCTCTGCTATGGAGACAGGCTGAGAGAGTTGGGGCTGTTCAGCCTGGAGAAGAGAAGGCTCCGGGGTGATCTTATTGCAGCCTTCCAGTACTTGAAGGGGGCCTACAGGGAAAGGCTGGAGAGGGGCTTTTGACAAGGGCGTGTAGTGATAGGACAAAGGGCAATGGCTTTAAACTGAAAGAGGGGAGATTTAGATTGGATCTAAGGAAGAAATTCTTCCCTCTGATGGTCGTGAGGCACTGGCACAGGTTGCCCAGAGAAGCTGTGGCTGCTCCATCCCTGGAAGTGTTCCAGGCCAGGTTGGATGGGGCTTTGAGCAACCTGGTGTAGTGGAAGGTGCCCCTGCCAATGGCAGGGGGGTTGGAACTGGATGGTCTTTGAGGTCCCTTCCAACCCAAACTGTTCTATGATTCTGTCATTCTAATCCTCATTTATTTGTGCGTTATCCTGTCCCTGCTCAGTCCCAGGCCTTGTGTTTCCATGCCTGGGCTCACGGCCCCTCTCAGCCCTCTCCCTGCAGAGAGGTGGGTGTTGGGTTGGGTTCTCGGGTGGACGGTTGAGGATCTGGGGACAGGGTCAGGAGCACGGTAAGGACTGTCCTGAGGAAAAGGGGTGCTTTTGACCTTGAGCTTCAAGTCTGCTCCCTGCCTTATAGCACTTGTGATACGGGGGTACAGACAGTGATGGTAGGATCCAGCACTCAGTTCTCACTGCTTTATAGAGGTGTCTCCACCTCTCTGTGGCCTCCCACATTTGACTTTCCCAGTGGCAAAGCCATCAGCCTGGGATTGGGGTTGGTTTTTGGTCATTTTACTGATCCAGGTTAGACCCTGGACCACACGCTGCTGGAGCAGCAGCTGGTGCGGGAGTGACTGGGCAGCAGGAAGGGCTGGAGCTGCTTAAACCAGCTTTGTCCCCAGCATAATTTTAACCCAGGATGATGCTGGAGGCTGCTGCTTGGGGGGTGCTGGTGCCAGCATCCCCACCTACAGCACCGTGTAGCCCAGTTACACAGACACAGCTCCGGAGGGGAGGGGCTGGAGACGCTGCTGGAGCTGCCAGGGGAAATCACGTCAGGATGAACGGCCATCTGAATGAGTTTCCATCCCAAGGGTGTGGATGTGAGCACATTAACCCGTGACCAGTACAGCTGGCTTCCTGGCACAGTTATCCCTGGGTAGATGATGGGTAATTTTCTCCCCCTGTGCATTTTTTTTTCGGGTTGATTCCTCAAGCTTTGCTGCTTCATATATCCGTAGCCTGAGGCCAGAGAGCAGGGGAGATGCAATTAGAGGAAGCAGAGTGCAACAGTGGATCTGAGCGCTGCAGCTTTCTTGCATCTCTGTTGCTGTTAAACGATGCAATCATGTTGCTTGTGGTGTTTTTTCTCCACGTAGCTTGGGGTTTTTTAAAGCTTCCATTTCAAAAATCCTTTCCATGGTGTGGCTCTGCCTGTGTTTACACGAGCTCAGGTGAAGGGGTGATAAACAGGCAGGGAGCAGGAGTGAAGGGCCAAGATCTGGGATGACAGGAACCCCTCAGTGGGCTTTCCAAGAGCATCTATTGTGCAGCTGCCTCTGAAGGTTAGTGCTGGTGGCACACGTTTGCCAGAGGCCCTTCTTGCATCACGCCCAGTAAATAGCCTGATGTAGCAGCTCCAGGATTGATTTGAAAATTATTCTTTTTTTGTTCATTGTATTTCATTTGTTTTGCAAAATGACCTGCCAAAAAAGAAAAAAAAAGCCAGATGAAGGCTGCCCTTACCTTGCTGTAATGTGATGTGAGTTTATTTTTTTTAAAAAATAAAGAAGAGAGAGGGACGATTTCAGCACATGATGTTCAAATCCTCCCTCACTGTTGTTGTTTTTCCTCTGAGATGCTGTCTGGGTGAGGATGCTTCATTAAGATGATGAGATGGGAGTGATGGGGGAGTCTTGAGTGGCTGAGGAGGGGTGGAAATGCCATCCAGCTCTTCACCAGCTCCCTGCTTTGTGTTCATTTTGCTTCTCACCGATTTCACTTCAGGGATTAACAAATACTTGCAAGAAAAGATCTTTGCGTCTGCTTAATTGCGTGTACAGTCTCGTGCGTGCACTTTGCAGGTGGACATGAACTGTGCTGTAAGCATTCCTTTTCCCTGTTTTGTTGGGGTTTTCCTGTAGAATCAGGGGAAGAAAAGGCTTGAGATCTGGAGACAATGTTTTAATAACAAAAAAAAAACACCAAAAGCTTTGAATTTAAAGCATTTTGGAACCCCTTCCTGCGTCATGAGTAAGCCAAAAGAGCCAGAAACCTGACTGTATTTCACGGTGGCATGAAAACATGTTAACCCTGCGCTCTCTCTCTCTCTCGCAGCCATGCACGGCTGTTTTGACGTTGTGGAGCTGCTCCTGGAGCGGTAAGCAGGCTTCCTCCCTCCACTGTCTGCCTCCCCGCTCTCCCCCGCCTCCCATCCACCCCCAGGCTCACTCCAGCCGCCCGAGTACAAAGGGCGTTTATCCGTTCGGGAAGCCCAGCTGCCCTGCATGCCATCCCGGGGCTGTCTCCGTTTCCTCCAGGTTTTTCACGGCTGGTTAGGGTCCTTGGAGACACGGATGCTCTCCGGATGGGCTCTGCCTTCGCCATGACATAAGCCCCGGTTATATAACTCGGCTCTTTTTCTGTGCTGATTCATTCCCGTTGCCTCCGATGTATCTGAGGCCGTACGATAACAACAAACCAGTTTTCTGGGAGCTCTCTTCTGAGTGCAGCTCCTCCAGGCTGGACTCAGCCTCCAGGCAGCCTTCCAGTACCTAAAGGGGCTACAGGAAAGCTGGAGAGGGACTTTCTACAAGGGCATGGAGTGATAGGACAAGGGGCAATGGCTTTAAACTGAAAGAGGGGAGGTTTAGATTAGATCTAAGGGAGAAATTTTTCACTCTGAGGGTGGTGAGGTACTGGAACAGGTTGCCCAGAGAAGTTGTGGCTGCCCCATCCCTGGAAGTGTTCAAGGCCAGGTTGGATGAGACTTTGAGCAACCTGGTGTAGTGGAGGGTGTCCCTGCAGAGGTTGGAACTGGCTGATCTTTGAGGTCCCTTCCAACCCAAACCATTCCATGATTCTATGATTTTCAGGCTGCAACTCCCGGGAGACTACTGTGAAGTGGCTTTAAATCAGCCAGTGCCCGGTTATGCTGACCCTGTTACCTTCCTAACCAGCACTGCCCGCTGCCAGAGCTGAAGCAGCTTTCCCCGGGCATCACAGTGGCTTCTAGCCACAGCTCCTGTTAGCTGACTCGTCCCAGCCTTGTTGATTCCTGTCCATGCTTGGCCCAGCATAAACATAGCCCTGTGATTGCAGCCAGGCTTTCAATTTTAATGTGGTCTTCTCTCGTTTCAGTGGAGCTTTAACCTGAGTGAGACCTGTGCGCTTTGGTTTTGTGTGTGGTGGTGTTACATGAGGGTATGGTTTTCCTCTCTGCCAGTGCACACCTTGCCCCTTCAGAGATCCTCTGTTTGGAGGGCAAGGGAAACAGGAATGAGCTGTGGAGCCCTGGCTTTCCTGCAGCCCGAGCAAGTTGCACTGGCTGAGTACCAGATCCCTGACCCAAAAAACTGCAGCACACCGTACCCCAGGCCACAAAGCACCGAGACAAGTTTATGCGTGGTCTACAGGGAGGCTTTGTAGCTGCCTTTTCCAGTCTCATCCACTGATAGTCTCCTGCCCACAAGTACAAAGCAACTGGTGCAGTAAGGATTTTGGAGCTGCCAACAGCTCTGTCCTGGCTTTTGGCTTCCCTCCCAGGTGCCAGTATGAACCTGACAGCAGAGACAAATGTGGAGTCACTCCCTTTATGGACGCTATCCAGAACGGGCATGTCAACATTGCCCGGCTGCTCCTGGAAAAACACCAGGTAGGTGCCAAAAACATCACCTCCTTCCTCCAGGACCTGACCTAGAACTGCCAGGGCAAGCAATCCACGTGTTCACCATAGCCAAACTGTAAAGCAGCACATTCCCAAACTGTAAAGAAGGGATTTGTGAAAGAAAGCAAATTCCTCCTGGAGATGAGCAAGATTTTGCCGAGTGAGGCCACCAGGATTGGGCTCATGGGGAAGATCTCCCCCTGGGGCAGGGATATGTCCCCAGGCTGGTGAAGGGGGATGAAGAGACAAGGCAGTGGCAGGAGGGGACAGGACTTGCCCAGCACCGCACTGGGGGCTGTGTCAAAGCCATGACTGGTGCTCCGGAGTGCCGGGGCTCAGCATGGAGGCTCTCATGGCAGCGCTGAGGGGGGATGACATGGAGGCGTCTGGCTGTGCTGCAGCAGCTCATCTCTGGCCTCCCTCACTTAGACAGCTGCTGCTCCTGTGTTGTCTCCCAATAATCTCTTGATTTCCACCAACATACGAGGCATAACAGGGATGTCGTTAGAGCCAAACGTGCGTAGTAGGAACCAGATCACTGCCTTATTTATTGACTGCTGAATGATGTGAGATGGCTGGAGCCCACCTAACGGCTGATTCTCACCGAGGTGGGGACGTGCCTCCATTCTCACCTCCTTTGCCCTCCCTTTGCCTTTCCCCTCCACCAGCTTTGGTGTTCATCGGACACCGTGCCAAACTAGTGCAGCTCACTGGCCTGGCAGAAATGTAGCATGGCAAAACCAGAGAGTCTGTTTGTGCCACGTTGGCAGGTTGAATTGGCCAGCTGAGCCCTCAGCGTGGCACGGAGTGGGCCAGGTAATGTGGTACCACACTTTTCGAGATCACAAGCTTTGGATTTACTCAGCTGTAACACATAGCCTCACCCAGCAGAGGCAGTTTGATGCCCGGGTTGTGTTTGATCGAGTAGATGCTTGTTGGCTTCAGGAGATGTTCATGTGCTTGTCTTCGCTCAGCTGGCCCTTATAAAACATTTGTGAGGTTTGTTTGTGTTTTTAGTCTCACATTTCAGGCAATGAAGGTGGCATAGTTGATTTAATTTCCTTGTTGTGGTGCCCTGGCTTACTGCTATGAAGGAGCACTGGAAACGCTAATGGCGGTGTTGCTACCTTCTAGGTTTTATAAAACCACGATTCAGGCCCACTGGACTTCAAGAGGCTGGATTTTATCCTTCAAGACGAGTGTACTGTGTATCACTGCCATTGCTCTTCTTGATCTTATGTCTTTGTGGTTCACGTTCAGAGGCTCAAAGAAGAGAGGTCATCCACCCATCTCCCTCCTACTTGTCTCCAAATTCTTCTCCACCAGCACAAAGGTTGGAGATGGGTTGTTTCTTGCTGGTTTAAAGAGTTGAAACCCATCATATGTGCTCCAGCAGATGAGAGAGGGGGGCTTTGTTCTCTTTTTGGTGCTAGTTTTGCTTGTCTCTTAACAAGCTCAGCAGAGAGCTGGCTCTGGTCTGCAAATCATAGTGCTACCAACTGCAGCGGTCCTGCTGGTGACGTCCCTCATTGCCATCACCGTGGCTGTGGCAGGCAGACACAATTCTGCTTTGGCTGATGGTTGTCCTTGGAGCTTTGGCCAGGCTGTTCATTGCTTTCCCTTTCCCTCCTCCCCTATTCCAGGCTTGTCCTACAGCCGTGGACGTGCTGGGCGCTCAGCCTCTACATCGGGCAGCTGTCACGGCGCAGGATGAAGCCATCCAGTTCCTTGTCTCTGAACTGGGAGTTGATGTCAACGAGAGAGCGACGACCCTCCAGCTCACAGCACTACACTATGCAGCCAAGGTTTGTCCCTGTTCCCAGGCTCCTTCTACAAAGTCTCTGCCAGTTGGTGTGCTACAGGCAGGCACCTAAAATAGGCTAGTTTGGGCGTTCACATTCCTAGCTTATCCTCTGTCACTGTCTATCTGGTCCTGACCAGTCCCATACTCTGTTTAATGGTTTTAGACCCTCATTAAGTGTGTCCTGCAGAGGTGGTGGGTATCTGAGTTGCTCTCTTCACCGCCCTCCTGCCCATGCCACCGACTCTGCTGCAGGTTAGTAAACCCTCCTGCCTGCCACATGGCTGTGCAGAGGCAGAGCTGGGCGGTGATGGGGCTCAACTCCTTTGCCACTCATCCAGTTGGCTGTGCTCTGGGTAGGGCTTGACCCCACACCTCTGATAAGCATTACTCTTCCAGTCTGCTGCCTTTGGACCAAAGTGCAATACCTGAAGGGAGTCCCCCTCGCTAGTTATTGGGAGTTGTAGGTTCATGAGCTGGGACAGTTCTTGATTGGTGTCTTCTCACGTGCTTGGTGGAGGAGACGTGGATGAAACACTGGTGGTTTGGGTCCCGGTAGGTCAGTGGGCAGTCTCTGTGACAGCAACTTGGCTGATGTGCTGTGAAACAGCAACTGTTGGTCCCAGTAGGCTGGATTCTGGCCTGCCCGTGGCCAGATGTGAGAAAGGAGAGGTGCAAAGGCAGAGGGAACTCCCGGGAGCTTATCTGTGTCCTTCGCACAGGAGCTGTTTTGAATTCCAAGCGGTGAGAATCGCTTGAGCTTTCTCCTCCTCCTATCTCATACCTGTGTGGGAAGCAGGGCCTGGTGGGCTGTGGGTCCTGCAACGCTCCCTGGGAGCGCAGAGCAGATCCCAAATTTCTCACCACTGACTCGGATCCCTCCTGGGACCCTGCTGCCTCCCTTCTGCTCAGTGCTGTCGCCCTGCAGTGCGCGGCATGCTGGCAGCTGGTGGCAAGAGAAGCTCCCTGCTCACATCCCCGCATGTTAAACCTCACGAGCTTTAACACGCAGCGCTCAGAGCCTGGTCTAGACTTGTAGTGGGAATGAAACAGCATCCCAAGCGCCCCGCTCCTACAAAAGCATCAATGACACTTACTGGGAGTGCTGGCAACAGTATTCTCCTCCAGCAGGACCCAGCCATGGCATTTGCTGGCTCCCACAAAGGAGGCCTTTCTCCCGGCTTCCCTTCCTCATGCTCTGAGAAACCATGTTGAAAGCCCTTTTGGTTGCCAAGGGTACGTTTAACAGCAAGGCTACTGGGGAATATAGTGTGCCTTGGAGAAGATCCCAGCTCTCTTGGCGAGTGGCTGACTGGGGAGTGATTTGATGGGTTTCTCTTCCTTCCCGAGGCTCGGTGTCACTTTATATTTACAGCATCGTTTGTTTGGCTGGTGGTTTTGTGTTTTTTTTTTTTTCCTTCTTTTCTTATTACTTTGCATTTATAAATACGTGAAAATCAAATTACGCTTTCAGCTCAGTTTGCTGCCAAGGCTGTGGCAGCTAAAGCCGTTCCTGGCTTTGCTGGCTTTGCCCTGGAGAGGAGGTGTGCACGGAGCGCGGAAATGGGAGCCTTGAGCAGGGGGAAAGATGCTACTGAGTCGCACGATAATGGAGGGAAAAGAGTGGTGGGGATAAAAATAAGAGCCCTCCATTCTCCTGCCGTGCAACAAAGACTAATTCATTGCATTGAAGAAGTAATTACACCATCAGGCGTGTTATTTAGGGAGAGAGGATTTATTTATGGAGAAGCTTGTGCAGAGAGGAGGGGTGTGGGGGCTGTGTTGTGTTTTCCCCTGTGGCGTTTAAAATCGGCTACCGGCAGAGGAAGGATAGAGGACATACTGGAATACTGCGTTCAGCTCTGGGGTCTCCCACACAAGAAGGACACGGAGTTGCTGGAGCGGGGCCAGAGGAGGCCACAGAGATGATCCGAGGGCTGGAGCACCTCTGCTCTGGAGACAGGCTGGGCGCGGTGGGGTCGGTCCC